TTTCCCCCCCCCCCCCCCTTTATTCCTTTTTAAACTCCTTGTTTTTACTCAGAGTATTTTCAAGTTGAAGAGTTAAAAGATGAGTGATGACTACTATCTGGAAATCTCAATCATCTTCTGAGAGGTGACAATTATTTGATTGTGAACTGATCAAAAGGAGTAAACTTGCAAGCTTAGGACAGAATACAAAATGACTTGTACCAGAGAATGGGAATGAACATATGAACCCAGCCCAAAAAGCAAATTAAAGATGACTTAACATCACCATTTAAGGTGACTCAAAGCTTAATGCTATCAGTTGAGGTCATCAAGCCCTTCTGTCTTTTCAGACAAACTAGCTTGTGGCAGAAATAGGACATTCTGCATTGTTTTCTGACTGTTTTTATTTTAGTGTTAGAAAAGGGGTTAGGAATTAGAAAAAAAATAATCAAAGTTTTCCTGATGTCTGTTTTCTAACAGTTGCACATAAAGTACACTCACAGTATGAAAATAAGTAGGCAAGTCCATTCAGCAGAGTACAGCTGTGGGGCAGAGCCCGTGAGTTCACGTCAAACAGTAAAACAAGGGCATGTAAGTGCCTTTAAAAATGTCAGACTCAAATATGAGTATAATAATTCAACCCAGCAGGACAAGCACATGAGGGATGGCACAGAGCAAGATGACATTACACTTAACTATTGCTTATGGTAGCACATTTTCCAGGAGAGCTTACAAGACACATTTTTTTTCGGACAAATTAAACAAAAATAAATATCCTCTGGCATTTTTAAGACAAAATAAAGGAAAACTTACTTCCTCAGCACCTCCTGGTTTATGAGACTCCTTAGTATGTGTGGTTCTGTACATGTTTCACTGGGGCTGTAATAGCTGATGTTTTTGCATTTCAAGCCTGTATGTCACTAGCAGTCAACCGACTCCACTGACATGAAGTGCCCCAGGGAAAAATAGCTGAGCGTTCTTACAGGCTACATAATATCTTACACCATTACACTACCAATATTAGGTTGACCATGGACAAACTAGTTTATAGACTCAGATCTGACTTATTAATGGGTTATTCAACTAAAACCTTTTTATCCTTTCAAGAAGTGTTTCTCTTCAAGCATTTTTTGAGCACTCAGCTTACAGAAACTGTTAGCAATGTTATCTCTCATTTCTCTCTTCTCACCCCCCCCAGCCCCCTCCAAAAGTCAGTGATTTTCCAGTGACAAGAGAAAAGGAGACAAAGAGCAGAAGACTCCGCCTTAGGCATCAGCCCTTTTCTGCCAAACATACAAGGTCCTCTTGTCTGTTGACTCCTGTTACTGTACCGAACTTCAGTTTCCTCACTCAACTAGGAATGTGTTTAAGCAAAGGCAAAAGCTTTAAAACGGATGATGACAGGATACAGAACGCTGTGCTTTTCAGCAAATGGCTTGTGTAGGAGACTTAACTCAGGCACAGATGAATTGAGTTCTTTGGACACTGTTCTCCAAAATATCTGCTACTGCTGCTGTAGTTGCAGTAAATAGAAAAAGCAGCAGCAGCTTACCAGGTAAAAATTACTCTTTTAGAACAGAATTAATAAATAAAATAAATAATAAAATAAAAACAAATAAACCTGCACGAGGCATTGCATTCACAGATAAACTAAAAAAATATCCTTTACATCCAAGGAAGGAGGAAGAGAAGCCAATGATTTCTGGGGATGGCAAAAAAGAGAACTCCATACTAGCTCTGTTTTAGCCAAAACTCACCGTAACTCTGGATAAACATTTTCAAGATACCACTTGAAGGGTTTGCAGCTAAGTCTCTTTCTGAGCTCCATTCGGCTTTGAATACTAGAGGGGAAAGAAAAGACATTTTCCAAGTCAGGCTGCTGTCTTCATATATGTTATGGAATACATAGAAAACTCAAGAACAGTAGAACCACAGAAATACACCTTAAAGAGACAACGAGAGCTGGCACTGCTTTCACCTCAGAAGGTGCTGTGCCAAGAAGAATAAACAAATAGGGCAAAGAAGCACTGGTGACTTACTTGCCATAAGGTACATTCCTGGCTGAAGGCACTGCTGCATAGTAGAAATTTTTATACTCATCCATCCAGACTTCTGCTGCCCTGCGTGTATTTCTAGGGACAATCATATGAAACACATGGGTTATATTTTCTCTAGGTGCAATTAAACCATGTAATTTATCCTCAGGTTGATATTAACCCTTCCTAGTACTACAAAGTCAGCTGCCTCAAGCCAGGCAGAAGAGTCCCTATAAAAGACTCGAGTAATAGAAAACCCTTAAAGATTAACATCACTAAAATCAATGCATTTAGAATGAAACTTATGTCCTTCCCACACTCATCACTGCTACAGGTTTTCATCCAGAATTTAATACACATCTTGGAGTTCTTTCTGCAAACTTCGTGGAATTTGTTAGGTTGGTGTTTGGCTGGTTTTTTTTCTTTTTGTAAGCGTAACTTAACAGAAGCCAAATTCAGTGAGTGCTCACCTGTATAAGCAAACTAATTGGAAACATAAAAATCTCAACAATTGGCAATATTTAATGACCTCCTTTACCTTTTCAAAAACAGACATGCTAACATAGGCAGGACACATTTTCAGTCTTCATCCTAATCCTACCAGCACAGCAAAGTTCCAAAAGACATAAACTGTCATGACATTTAAGGCTATGAACCAAACAAGTCTGCTGTAGCTGAGCTAGCAGAGAAGAGGCAGCAATCAGAAAATATTTTTAATGCTTTAAAATTCAAGAGAGATTGATTATTGCAATAAATGTGGAAAAAATCCCACTAACTCAAAATGCTGCACTTCTAATCAAACACATCTCTAATTAGAATTCCTCTATTTATGTAACTGGTGTCTTTAAAATCTCCTTTTGGACTGCAAGAGGGTAATGGCTTTTTCCATCTCCTGGCTTCCATGTAAAACTCATTTACTTGTATTGTTCATAATTTTATGCTGAGAAAATCAAATCTTATTTCACTTGCAACTGCCATGCTCTGAAGCTTATTTTATATTTGGCAGCAAGTTCATCTAAAGCAACTGGGGTAAACTCAGTCAGCCAGTAACTTCTTTAATATGATTTTCCAATTCAAAAGACAAAAAAAGCAGTCAGGATAAAGTGAGGAGTCTTGCAGGCTGCGAGAAAGGAGGACATGGAGAATAAAACAGTCACAAGAAAGACCTGAATAATTTTTTGGTTGAGGATTGGGCTGTTTTTTTTTCTTTCAAAGATTCCTTTAAATTTTTTTGGTAAACAAAATCCCACTCAATTCAGAGTATGTCAGTTTATCCTCATGCCCAGTCTCTCAGGCCTGTGTGTCAGGCACTTAGGATGTGTCCCCTCTTGCTTGCTCAGCAATCAGCTTGGCCACCCTCAGGCCAAACGGATTTTGGTGGTGGGAGAGGAACTACTTGGTTTGCCAGGGTTTAATGACTCCAAAGATGCTTTTGAGGCCAAAACGGTGACACGAAGAGGGGCACTGTGTACTGCTGAGAACTGCCTAAACTAGAAGGGCCCCAAAGCAGGCAGGATGCTGAGGGACACAGTGCTGGGTGCACTTAATGCTGAGCCACAGCTAATGAAATGGAGCACTGAGGGATCAGAGGTAGCTTTGCGTGAAGCAGACTGGGGTCTGCAAGATTTACTGGATTGTCTGAAGTGGTGTGTTAAGACAGCACACACTGGTCTAACAAATCCTGCCAGACACAAGCTGTACCTGCCCATACCAGACAGCCAGGATGTGGTGTCCCCTCTAATGAAACAGGATTCCCAGTCTGATCCAGAATTACCAATTTGTTTTGGCTGCCGAAAGGCAGCGCATGCTGACAGGCCAGCTAAAAATATGATGCTTACCCAGAGCAGTCCAGAACAAACTGCACAGTCAAGGGACAGTTGATGGCATAAGCCACAAGTCCCAGCTGCAAGACCAGCACAGACTACATGCACCGAGTTTCTTGGCAACATGGTCCTACACAAATCTGATAAACTCTGTATTACAAAGATATCCCATTACCTTAGGTTTCTCATTCTCTTGTTGCTTAAATTGATTTAAAGGCATTCTGTGATATTGGTTTGACATCCAACAAAGCTGACTGAGGAGGAAACCTTCAAATGTACAACTTGTCAACTCTGTGTTTCAGCGATATACAACTCCTCTAGGTCAATTAAAAAATAATTCAATTTAAACAAAGAATTTAAATGGCATTTCAGAAGGACAAATGCAATAAATCACTTGCAGAGAAAAGCAGATCTGAAAAGAGATCTAAGTACCCAAGACACTAGGTTTGCAGGCTTCAGCTGTCCTCACCATTCAAGTACACGTGGGATCTCTTTTCAAAGCCACTTTGAACACAAATGACTTGAAAAAAATCCATCACAGTAATTGTGAGGACATTTGAGTTATCAAATCACAACAACGATTTGACTTCACAACACAATCCAAAACCTTTAATCCCTGTATGAAGGCAGAACCTTCAACCCCTGCTAATATGATGCATTTCCAGTGTCTGTTGTATCCTTGCATGCATACAGCCTCATCTTTTTCCTATGTTTCAGCTGGAGTGTGTTTAAGTGCACAAGAAAAGCAGCATCTTGCCAACACCCCAAAGATGGAAAAGCTACAGCAGTGGGAAATCTGCACAGTATATTCGTATGTTTAATCACTTTTATTAACCATCCCCCTTGTTATGACACTGCCATTTCAAAATGAATCATTAAACTAAAATAGTTGCACCCTAAGCCTATATAATACAGGTTAATTGCTAGATCTTTCTACTCTCCTGATACACGCTATAAATGTTGGAACAGAGACGTGATGTGTTGTGGATATTTCATTTGTAGCTTTTGTTTTCTGTTAAGTATTATTAATTTTTTTTTCACTGCAGCATAAAATACAGATCTCAAAGATTAGGGGACCAGAGAAAATCCTACACTACTACTGGAAGTAACAGGACCATGACTTTATTTTAGCAGACTATTAAATTCATTAGAGTCACCTTGGTGGCATAACCAGCATGGCAGGGATGAACTACACCCTAAGGAGATTCCTCAGACTGAAGTGAACCACAAGTCCGAAAAATATCAGAAGCTTAGAACATTCTTATGAATTTAAGTACATCGACACACTCTGTTGCTTCATGTTAAAGAGGGTTTGGGCTCCATATCCCTTCAAGGGTAAATAAACAATTTCTTTTCCAGCTCTTAACCCACAGAAGCTTTAGCTGAGACTTGTACTTCTTCAGCCCCTTGAGCATCAAGTCCAATTCTCTAGACCAAAACCTACAGCGATTCTTCAGCTACAGCTGATAGAGCCTTGATCAAAATGTCCACCATACATCCATGTAACACTTTTATCCACATTAAGTAAAAACCACGATGAACATGGATCAGCTTTGCTATTCTCACTTTTTACAGAAGAGGAACGGAAGGGTTAGCTCAGTTCTTCAGCTACTGCTATGCATTGTATCAACAGCAAAATTAACAGGCATATTAAGCCCTTCAACTGCAGTTTCTTAGGTCTATAGAAACAGCATTTTTAAATATAGCACAGGAAAGGCAAATATGATAGAGAACATAGTTGCCAACACACTGGCACAAATACCAGAATCAGTCTACATAATCATCTGCATCTCACATACCGATCATGCATTAATAAAAACCAAGCCAAGCATATTCATAACTTAGTGTATTCTAGCTCTTAGTGAACAATGAAACTGCTTCTATAAAATGAAGCTTTAGGATACAGTTCTGAAAATAAAGCCTTCTTTAAAACCAAATAAACACAGTGCTCAAAATTGATGGAATGCCAAGCTAAGCATTTCCTTTTACAGATTCTCAGTCTGCGTCCACTTGAAGTTTCCCTCTTTCAACTCTCAGGTGGTTCTTTCAACCTAAGCAGCTGCCTCAAAGTCATCAATATCTTTTTAATTAGTATTTTTTAATGATAGATAATACTGCAAATATTTCTGAAGAGAAAAGCCTTAAAATGGAATTACTGCCATCTGGTGATCATCTGGAGAAACCCAAAACATTGCTATTTAGCTGAAGACTTAACAGTTACCTTGCAAACACGGTACCACTCCCACCGGGAAACGTGTAAGGATGCTGCTTGCGGAATACGTGACCCACTCTGCTGCAAGGGATAATTTCTAGGCTCCCACCACATTGCCAAACTCTGAATGAGATCTCTGAAATAAAAACACAAATTAAAGACCAACATCACAAAATACTATAATTTCGTAGTATACTATTCACAGAGAAGGCTTTTAGTGATTACTGCTAAGAAGAATAGTAAGACAGTTTTCCGATAAATTCTAGGATAAACAAAGGCATATCTGAATGTTTATCATTCTGCAAGCTCAGGAAAAAATAACCATATTAACTTGGAAGCAAAACTTGGAAGCAAAACTTCTCTTATGTGAAGTTGCCAGCATCCCCCAAATGAGTAAAGCACACTGCAATTTGCCACAGTGAGTTAGGTGTATGTGTACTATTACTGTGCTTTATCTGAAGGACAAACAACAGCAGGTACACTTAACAGACAAATTAGTGATCTAGCTTATAACAGAATTTTTCATCTGAAGATGGAATAACACACTGGACAAAATCAAGATAATCAACAGAGTTGAGCTGCTAACTTATTATAGCAGACAAGCAAACACTCCCAAACATCGGCCGTGAAAGGAGTTAAATCAAGTCAATCTTGACTTGAAGATAGACCAAATAAAGGCACAACTTCTATAAACTGAAGGTTATGAACAGTACACTTCTAAGCCAACCTAGTGAACTGAGACAGCTAGTGATGACAAAAAGGTCTAGAAATATTTACAGGCTTTTCTCAACTTTGACCTTTGATAGCAGAAGTCTCCTAGTGCTGACAGAGAACTTCTTCTCATTCATTCCACATATGTGCAGTAAGAAGGGTTCTTCCAGTAGCACTCTTTCAGTTTGGATGATGCCCCCTTTAGTCCAGCAGCTGCTACCAGACAGCCTTAGTTTCAAGCCTCTTCATAACTGTTCAGCCTTTCAGATTTTTTTTCAAAAAGGCACTCTAAATTAAAGTCAAAGTCAGTGTTTGCCTTTTATGACTTGGACTAAGTGACATGCCTTCCCTCAGAAACCCTCTTCCACATACACAAAACAAGCCATAATAACTTCAAAAATGAAATTTGAAAAAACACATAAAAAAAGAACCCCACAACCACAGGTTAGAGAGAGCATGTTTTCTTGATGGTCTGTCCAGAGATATTAAAAAAGATGCTGCAATCTGAAGTGATTGTCAGTACAAGTTAACTGCCTTTCTTCTTGATGTCCAGGATTCGTCAATATGATCAGTCAGCATAGTTCCATCTATAGATAGATCATACTCCAAAAATATGAATGACAATATTGTCTTTGACAGCAACTTTTGCTCTTGATTTTCCACTGGAATTTACATGGTACCACAGGCAAAACTCATTTTGAAAGCAAAACTGATTCACTTGGTACAATTTTCACAGCACTGACCTCACTCTTACACCTCCTATTTTAAGAATGGGGAAAAAAAAAAAAAAGGACAACCACAGTAAATGACTGGTCACTGCTTCTATTAAAGAAGTTAGTAACAAAAGCACTTTTATGTTTCCACCAGAGTAAATTACTCATCGACAGAAGACTTCAGGCTCCTCCACGTCTAGCTCAAATTTGCTCCTATACTGTTCAAATTGTGAAAGCAAAGGAGTAATAGCTTTCTTGTAGCACTTTGAAGCATTATTTATGGAGTTTTGCTATAAAGGTCATACAATTATTAGCCCAATATGAGGGAATGCTGCACTCAGAAGAGCCTAGTGAAAGAAGACAAGATCTGATCAAAGACAAAAGCTTTTGCATTAGACAAGCAAGTGCAGACTAAATGCTTTAAATAGAGAATTAGACTTAAGTATTAGCAAATACATGTCTCTGAAATAACGTGAACTGAGATTCTGTTTAAAAATAAAGGTCAACGCAGTATACCTCAAGTTTGCTCTTTTTCAAATGATTCATCTGAAGGTTTCATCCAAAAAGTCAGTGAAATCTGTTGAATGTATGTTTTGAAGGCACTGAAATAGTAGTTTTGTTTTACAAGTAATTTAGAAATATTTGGTGTCAATTTCTTTCATTATTCATGGCTTCCTTTACCATTGCACATCAATATCACTAATTCTCCCTTCATAAATTCCCAGAAATGTAAACCAACATGTATTCTTTCTGCCATCTAAGATTGTGAAGAATCTTGCAAAAAAGGGAAAAATATGGAAGACAGTTCTATGGGAAAGACAGCAAAGGACTAGTATATAGGGAGAGCAAACTAATTCTTATTTGCACCAACGAGGCTTCTAAAGCCTGTATGGATTTTTAAAGAAAAAAAGAATACACATCAACTAAAACTCCAAACAACTCCCCAAACTCCCTTAAGGCATCTTTTTTGTCATGCTCAAACAGTGGGAGAATAAAATTTTACTGTCATAACAATTTCAGTGGACATAGTTCTTAATTGAAAAGACAAACAGCACATGAAAAATTCTTTGAGATTATATTACACCTCTCTACAAGATTTGTTCTTTTTATTGCAGCATGTCAGCAGTATAGAATCTGAGGAATGTCTTACTCATTCCCTGACTTAACAAATTATTAAGAATCATAGAATCATAGACTTTGCTGGGTTCAGAACTGGCTGGATGGCCCAGAGAGTGGTGGTGAACGGTGCCACATCCAGTTGGCGGCCCGTCACTAGTGGTGTTCCCCAGGGGTCAGGGCTGGGCCCAAATCTCTTTAAGATCTTTATTGATGATTTGGATGAGGGGATTGAGTGCACCACCAGCAAGTTTGCAGATGACACCAAGTTGGGGAGGAGTGTGGATCTGCTGGAAGGCAGGAGGGCTCTGCTGAGGGACCTGGATAGGCTGGAGAGATGGGCTGATTCCAACGGGATGAGGTGTAACAAGGCCAAGTGCTGGTCCTGCACTTTGGCCATAACAATCCCATGCAGCACTCCAGGCTGGGGACAGAGTGGCTGGAGAGCAGCCAGGCAGAAAGGGACCTGGTAGTTTGGATAGATAGATTGGACCTAAACTTTCTAACGATCCACCCAGTTCTCCAGTGTATTTTGATTCTCCTAGGCTTATCAAGAAGCATCGTAAGGATGCTAAGAATTCTGAGTTCTAGACAAGACTGAACTAACCTTGTACAGCAAACATGGTTATCAGTCACATTTAGCAACAGTCTGGTAATTTGGCCAGTTTAGGCAAAATACTGCAGGTTAGTCAAATTGAGACTATAGTAATGAGAAGAAACCCTCATGTAACCACTGCTCTGTACGCACTTGAAGGAAAAAATGCTAACTTTTATAAACTAAGTATAACATGCAGAATTATTTTGCAAGTCCATTTGGCAGGTTATTTACACATAACATCCTGTAACATGCCACTGACCCAGAGATACGCCCGAGAGTCGAGAGGCCTGACAAGTGTGCACACTGAATTTTAAACTGTACAGCACAGACTTCTAGCTGGTGCATGTGTCATTTATTGCCAATTAAATCATATGCCATGCAATTTTTACTCTGCTTCAGCTAGTCTGACAGCTAGGAAAAAAAATCATTAGTTGCCTGCTGCCTGCTTTCTGGGACCCCTAAGTCTCCATCTCCTCTTTCCCATGGAGGAGGGGGCACAGAATGCAGCAGGAGCAACATAAATGGCTTTTTGCACCTTTGAGAGAAGAGCTGTTGCATGTGCCCTTTCCTGCTATCAGGGCCTCAATTATCAAAACATAAAATTAGTTGCTAAATGTTAAAAAAAAATTGATTGCTTGAGTACACACTTGCAACTGATCAAGTATTTCAGTGTTTTAGTGGCAAAAGAGGTTTTCAGAGTGAATATGAGCACTGCTGTACTAAGGTTCTCCCATGACTTTCTGGGACATTTAAAAAACCTAAAAATTTTATTTATATAATTTAGCGATACACAGCCAAAACAGTGAGTAAACAGAAACATGGAATGTAATTGTTCAAAAGACCCAGAAGGTTTCTTTGAGCACTGCATAGGGTGGTCAGAGATAGGACTGCAGGGATGTGTCTTCAATCTAAGTTCATTACAGGAGTTTTAATGATTTCGTTACCACGTCTCCATTCTTGATGTGCTGTATACAACAGACACTTCCTTATAGGCCAAGCATATGCTTAATGCATATGCATATTTCAGTAACTCAAAATATTCATGGGTTTTTACAAGTTCAAGGTATTTTAAGATTTTTTTTAGTTGGCATGTGCAGAAGAGAAGTTTCTATCCTTAGAACTGTTCCTAAAAGACACTACTTGGAATGTCTGAGATGCACCTCTATCCGAAGAAACTAAACTCATGACAGACTGGAAGTCTTGAGAAGTTGTAGACTTCTGCTCCTCCCAAATCTTTTTTAACACAAGTATACTGGTCTTAACGGAAAAAAAAACCCCCTTTGTACAGCACTGTGATGCAAAGAGCCAAAGAAAACTACTCCTACCAGATTTAGTGACCAGGTCAAAGGAGAAATGGCTAAAGCACTAATTCTCTCAGCCACTCCTCCCTCTTGCCTAAATCCAACTCAACTGAACATCTGAAAATAAGGAATTACAGAAAAAAATGCCTTCGCAACCATCATTATCTCACAGGGCTAAAGTAGGGATATAAAACTATAGGACTCACATTAGGTTCAGACATCAGACAGTATACTATTGCTAATGTTAAAAAACAGATCATTCTTCAGTCAGCTAAGTTAGTTGATTTATTAAGGTGTATGTAAGAACATGAAACTCATGGACTTCTGTGTTCTACTTTTCACCATTAAATTTAAGCAACATCTCAAAAATATGCCTTTAGTTGTCAGCATTTAAACATTATGATTTTAAACCAATAACTTCAGATGAGGCTGTGGCTTTCAAAAGAGAGAGCATTTTTGAAAGCAATTGCCTTCTACAGCCTGTAGTCCTTTTACCAGCCAACTTCAATTACAAAAAAAATTCCACAGCTTAATGAACAAGTACTGTAATTCTCTCATACATAGCATACAATTCCTACCTTGTTTTAATTCTTACTGAAATAAACCTTTTGGATTTTGCCAATAATGCATATGAAATTTTTACTCTAGCTTTAACCCTCTTTGCACAAAAATCAGGAAAACCATGACTGTGTGACAGTAAAGGCAGTGGATGAAACCTGCTTTCTTTCAAGACTGATCAGAAGGTAAATAATGTACATACCTAGGTTTTCTCCACCCCAAACATCCATCATCATATCATACTTCCCTAGTTCTTCAAAATAGGATTTGTCCATCACAAACAACCCACCAGCTATCATGGGTGTCCTAAACAAATGAGAAAAAAATTATTTACAGCACCATGAACTGTGCTGTAACTACTATTTGCACATCAAGCTTAACACCTCATTGAAAAAATTGGCAATGCTTCTGAATGCAACTCATTTTGATTCTACCACTTCAAATGTTGCCTACACACATTTCTATGGCATATACAGTGCTATGACCACCTTCTGAGGCAGCTTCCAAATCTCCCTTTTGCTCACAAGTTTCTAATACAAAGGGTGGCAATTTGTGCCAGCAATAAAACATTAAAAGTGATGCTTATATTTTTAGCCCTCAAAACATACCAGCTTTAAACAAAATGACATCCACCTTTTCTTAAGGGTAAATAATCTACTGGTGTGGTTTAAAGTATTGGTTTAAATATTATTTATTTCTGAGAGCTTGAATGCTACATGAATATGAAGGAAATCTCAATATTGATGAAAGCTACAGTAAAGATCATCTTTCAGACTCAGAGAAGATATTTTTAACTTTGTTTAGTTGCAAACTACAATCTATTTGAGGAAGAAGTGATGGTACAAACATACTTTATGGGAGCAACTGGATTTCCTTGCCGTGCTCTTCTTTGCTCTGGTGTCATGTAATCCCACTTGAATACCAGGTTCCAATCAAAGCCTTCAAAAAAGAAAAGTAGGATCTTGAAAAAAACCTGGTCATCATTCAACTCATAGTAACAATGTTGACTGAAAACACTGGGAACTGTAATTTAAGTTAAAAAGTTAAACTTGTACAAACCTGTGGGTGGAAAACAAACAAGTAGGACTCCAGGTGAAAGGTAAAGAAGTTGACAAGACAATAAAAAAATTAATCTCAAATACAGAGTAACTTTGATTTCTCTTGTCATCTATTACATGAAGTAAGAAACCCAGTCAAGAAGTGGCAAAGCAAAAGCCTCATATGAATCCAACTCATACATCAAATAGAACAGCCTAGGAAGATCTTCCAGCCATTACCAATACACTCAACTGCTTTAAATAAGCAATCACACATTTATGTTTACACAGGCTTTATGCAGTATTCTTGGTACTCCTCTATCAGCAATAGGTCTCTGCCATGAAGGTCACAACAAGTAATGTAGGTCTCATTTATCTTCTTAACCATTTAACTTCCTGTTTTCCCACTGTGTGTTTTTAAGTGTATCATTTTTTAAACCTGAGACAAGTGCTAGAGCACCAAGATCTTACTTCCCTTATGCATGTACATATATGTGTGTGCACACAGCAACAGCTGGTCTGGTTCTGTCATGAGTTAAGCACAGAAGCACAAAGATCACTAGAACAGACAAAACCAATAGGTCACCTACAGCAGCTTTCTACCTAACAACCATTAAATTATCACCTTTGGACAATGATACAGAGCTGGTATAAGACAAAGTTCCTATAGGAAACACTTTCATAACAGTTTTTGTGCTGGGCTATGCCCATAAGCATGAACATCTACTAAAAAACTACACAAAGTCCATATCCATCTCCCAGTACACCTAGCAAATCAGCCTTGGACAGTCTGCCTGCTGCCAAACACATTTAGATCCTATGAAGTCATGTAACAAATGACTTCCAGATTTCTGGTGCACAGATGTCAACCGTTTTCTTTCTGCAGTATAAAGTAATTACTTTGTGGGGAAGTGGCGAAAAAAGCTAAGGTAAACAGACAACAATTACAGTCCTACAAAATGTCTGCATCCATAAATGTGCATAAAAATGACTGATGTAGAAAGCTGAAAACTAAACAGTTTTCATCGTAACTCACAAATTATCAATCACACATAATACAGAAATTATCCTAAACAGTCTCCACAACATGCATACCAGCTCTTTCTCTCCACATTTGAGTAGTTCATGAAGTGCTGCACTGTAAAAATGAAAGACCGTCTAAGTACTGCAAAACTCCAAGTAGCAAAACAGTAAAATGACTACAACCTACGGTACTGCAAAGCCTCCAGCATGAAACGTAAAATGAGTTCCAATATTTCTGTGCAGTTAAAGTCTCATTTCATCATACATACCAAGCAAAATGACTTGCATCTGGGAGAACTTGAAAAACCTACTGTTCTCCAGCAGAAGCAGCAGAGATAGAGTTACGTATACTCCAGTGAACACAAGGGGTCTCTTTTGGAACACAGCACTCGCACACACTGAACAAGTGTATAAACTGTCTACCCATTAAAAACTGGTTTTCCGTCTCCATTTTCACAGACTCTGGGGAAAATCTGCACTCAGTGAGATAGTATCAGTAACGCCGTGAAAGGAGTATTTTTAAACACAAGTGCATATCTAATATGAAATCCTATCCAGTGGAAACTGCATCACAGGCATACTCTAAATTATTAGATCTCAGCTAACTACAGTTTATTCCAGTAATTACAGTGTTTCTCAGGGTGGCATAAACACTTTTGCAAATCCCCTCCTCAAAAAAACCAAAACATGGAACACAAACTGCAAAGATTTAATATTGGCCAGGCTTGGGAATTATTTCAGATGTGTCCATTTAAAAAAAGAGTGTACCATTTGCTAGGCTGCTTGTCTTGGGTGATTAAGTCCTTTCCAAACAGACCAGGGACAAATGCTGTCCCAGCTGTTTCAACTCTCCATACTTCAGCCACACCAGATACTGTATCTAAGGCTGAAAGCATAGTTTGGTTTCCATGTTTAGACTTGGCCCCAGTGAAAGTGTCCCATGTTGCCAAATGCTGTAGTGCCTCTAATATGGCAATCTGTGCCGTAGGAACTCACAAGAAACATATTATTCACATTTCAATGGACCCTCAAATAGCTTGAAACACTGATATGTGCAAAATTTCTATTAACCTTAAAAAAAATACAAGACAGCTTCTCACTCCTCAATCCACAAGTACGTAGTCTTGCACTTCTTAAAACAAAAAAAAACCAACTGAACACCCCATCTATTTCCATTGTGTCCAAGGGGAGAAAATGAGCACTAAAAAGTAATAGATAAATAAATGAATTGGGAAATGTAGTTTCAAAGATCAAGCATGAAAAGCAGTAACAAGTGAAACAATCTCTCAATCTTCTCCCGCTTCACTTGGGAAGAATTTAAGAGCATGAGTCCAGCAGCAAGCAATGAAAGGTTTCAGTGAAAGAATTCCTTCTCCTACTGCAGACAACAGTGAAAGCCACATAATGGTATAGAGATTTCTGTACTCGAGGCTTAATGAACAGATTGGGTAAAGGCCTTAAGGTTTAATAATGCTGACACACAGATAATAGGACAGAATTATACATTAGCATACTGTGAATATATGCACTGTAGGTGTCATTTCAAAACGTTAATTAAAAGGATATAGAACCTCACACCTCCAGATCAATGACGAACTTATAGCATATGCACCATTATGCAAATACTGCTTTTATTTTAGCTTACTGGAACAAAACTTGGTGGCCAGTGAGAGACTAGAACCTGAAAGAGCAGGCTTGAAACTGTTTTTTCCTTCCTCACTCAAGAAGGTCAAAAAAAGGTGGAACATTGTGAGAACAGAGTCTAATTTTTTTAATCAGGGCTCATCTTAAATCTTTATGCAGACATTTCAGTTTCCAGGGTTGTGGGAACAATTACTTACAAATAGAAAAAATAGAGAGGGTGAAGGGAGTAAAGAGGTAGAGAACAGCTATTTTAAATACTAGATCCATGTCTGCAGTGAGAGAAGTTTTGAAAACCTGTATTAAGTAAGGATTTTAGTGCGTAGTTGCCTTCTCCCTCTCTGGAAAATGAGAGGGGAGGAATTCTTTATATTTATTTTTATTTAGGGCTTCACAGGTCTTTTCACTACTGGCTGTCAACAGTTTACACTAACTAGACGTAGTGAAACTGCAGTACTTCTAAACTCAGTTTAACAGGGAATTCTTTAATCGTAAAGGTATAAACACTGCAAATATTCATGGCCACATGTTAGTCTCTTCACAATTACATATCATGGCTAAGAGAAACATTTGTTTTAAAACACATTCCAAAGCTTTCTGCTTATTCAGAAGAGTTTAATATTTTAAGCAAACCAGCATCTTGAAAAAAACCTCATAGACACTGCATTGTTGATGGGCTTCTAAACTAGTGAGCAATTAAAGCCTGTCTCATCTAAAAAGTGAATCATAACCTCTGGCTATAAGCTTCTTCTGACACATTTGCACAACCCTACAAACATTGGAGCAAGTCTTGCATATTGGTAAAAGACAACATAAACTTTTAAGAATTAGTATAATGAAGATGAACTATTTTAAAGCAGAGAACAATAAGGCCAATTAAAATACAAGCCTAGAAACAAGTGACCCACAGCACTTAAAACTAGATGTATGAAAGGGAAAGAAGAGTGTGTTAATTGCCCATTCCACAACTGCAGTGATTATGAGCTTTGATTCTTGATGCTTACTCTTTTAAAAGTCTGTATTCCAGTACAGGTACATACCGCCTTTTAAATCAGCTGACGCCCCCACGTACTGGAAGTTGTCCATATTAATTACATCAATAATAGGAGACACAACTCTGGTCTTGTCCTAAAATAAATATTAGAAAGTAATATTGAAATAATGAAATCAATATATAAA